GAAGGGAGAGCAAGGTGAGGATGGGTCTGTTTCATCTTGGGAGTATCTACCCCTGGAATGGAATGAGTGAGTGTCAAAGGAGAGAAGTTTTACTTTCCCAGACCCAGCCTGCCAGGGCTAGGGAACCATGAAGTGTTAACAAAAGTCCACTGGCACCTGGTGGCAGCATACTCAATTTTCAGGCTTAATATTTACTAGTTAAATCACTGAGCTGGTCTGGAGTAACACTTACCTAGAAAGGCCCACGGTCATTCTTAGGCCACAAAACCTTCCAGATCTCCACTCAGGCCTGATGATGCCCTAGACCAGATTTCACAAGCAGGTATTTGAGCCCAGGAATTCCAGACCTGTCTGGGAATGCCATTTCTGAGGGAAGAAGTTACCTGCCACCACCACTCCTGGCCTTCCCCATTCCAAGGTCCCACCACAGGGTCACTATTACTGCTGGCAGAGCTGGGACATGAGCTGGGAAGCAGGGCGCCGCTGCCCCTGGGGTAGCTCAGCAGGCTACTTTTTGCCTTTCAGACAGCCATGGTGATGTGATCCGGCCTCTGCGGAAGCAGGTGGAGCTGCTGTTCAACACACGATACGGTGAGCAAGGAGCTGGACGGGCATGTCCTGGCCCTTCCATCCCAGCTGCTCCCTGCTCAGGAGCAAGGGAGGGCACCCAGGGAGACTGACGCACTGCCAGAAAACCTGACCCCTGGAATGCTGCACCCCAGCCTCCGCGGTCAGCACATTGACACTCATGTCTGCCTCTGTCCTCATGGACACCCTCATTCAGGGTCCTCAGAAGGACACATATGTAGCAAGAACTTTCCTACCGAAGAGACCAGGAGAGAAAATGGAGAGACAGGAGAGAAAGCTATTCTTTATTAAGGGCCTGTGGTTTGCCAGGCACTGGCTAAGTGCTTCACACAAGTTTGCTCATCCCATCTCACAAAACCCCTGTGACCTAATACCCATTTTACAGATCAGGAAAATGAGGCCTGGTGAAGTGGCATGGCTTATCTGAGGCCCCACTAGTGAGTGGCAGCACTTGGCCTGGGCCTCAGATCTGTCTTCTTCCCAGGGCGTGTAGTTGGGCACAGAGAGTTTTGGGGTTCTTTGTGGTGTTGGGGGACCCTCTGGAGGGCCTTTCTGATAACGGGGACACATGGACTTGAGTGGAGCTGACACCATGTCTCACCAGCCGTCAGTGGTTTCTCCTTCAGTGCCTTGGTTTGAGGGCACGGAATGAACATGAGTTTGGGGTTCACATCTTCCAGCTCTGGGGCTCTGGGACCTGAGATGACTCACATCCTCTCTATGCTCCAGGTCTCTTACCTAGAGACTATGGGTAACAGTACTCACCTCTCAGGGAGGTTGGGAAGGTTTGACTAAGTGCTGACTCTGAAAGGGCTCTCTGGCATCTGTGGCCCCCTGCACAGACAGGAGGTGGGAGTTGAGGCTGGTGGCCCCATAGCTCTGGGTGGCCCTACAGCAGCTGTGTTTCTGCAGCCAAGGCCATTGGCATCTCGGAGCCTGTCAAGGTGCCCTACTCCAAGTTCCTGATGTACCCAGAGGAGCTGTTTGTGGTGGGGCTGCCTGAAGGCATCTCCCTCCGCAGGCCCAACTGCTTCGGGATCGCCAAGCTCCGGAAGATCCTGGAGGCCAGCAACAGCATCCAGTTTGTCATCAAGAGGTAAGGCCTAACCAGATCCACGGGCCTCCAGGCTTGTCCAGCGCCCAAGAGCAATGCCAAATTGCCATCTTCCTCTTCAGATTGAGGCAGGATTTTGTTTTGTTTTGATTTTAAACAACAGGTGTTAGGTTTGGGCACAGTTGGATGGGCACAAGGTTGTCTAGGCCCAATCCAGGCCTCCCAGACCTGAAGCAACCAGACTGACAACCCTCTCAGTTTCCGGTTTGCCAACATGTGAAATGGGAATGTGCCCACCGGCTTGCTCTGCTAGACCATTCTGAGCCTCTGCTGGGTAGATGTGTTCGTGTCCTGGGCCAGGGGCATCAGAGCATTGCTGAGGGCAATGTCCCTAGACCATTCTGAGCCTCTGCTGGGTAGATGTGTTGGTGTCCTGGGCCAGGGGCATCAGACAGAGCATTGCTGAGGGCAATGTCTCATTATCCCTGGATTGGAAAAGATGGTGGCATTTCTAGGCCCTTTTTGTTTCTTTGGGCATCTCAGTTTTGTCAGTGAAGACCCAATAGAGCTATGTGCCCAACTTGGCTATAAAGTAAGTCCCTCTGGAGGAGGAGGAGGCAGCTATTAATTTTTAAGAGGGGGAGGAACTTGCGTAACCTGTTTTGTGTTTGTTGCTTCTGTGTGTTACTGTCATATCTTGTAAATTTAGGTTTGGTTTGGTTGAAAGTAGCAAGAAAAGGAGACAAAGGTTTGTTTCCTAGAGGAGTAGATAGCTCCCAAGTTAAGAAATTCAGTGTTCACACCCAGAGTGGCAGGCTGGTGATGGAGTGAGGGACAGGGGCTGTCCTATGGGGTCTGGTTTGTACCAGGAGGAGTAGGGAAGGTGGTGCTCCAGGAGATGCAAATAGTGGTTACCTCGTTCCTTCCTTCAGCAAATGCATCTTGAGTGCCAGCCATGTGCCAGGCTATGATACAACAGCAGGTGCCACTGAGTGCTGCCCTTGAGTTGGCCAGTCTCACCAAATAAAGTCACAATATAATGTCAGGTCGAGATAAGTGCTAGAATGCAGAGTAAGGGGGCAGAGAGGGAACCTGTCTCAGGAGACCCAGTGAAGCAAGCCATGCCAATATTTGGTGGAAGAGTGTTCAGGCAGAGGGAACATCAGGTACAGAGCCCCTGAGGCAGGGACGTGCTTGTGTGTTTGAAGACTAGGAAGGTGCAGCATGGCTGGTGTAGAGTGAGTAAGGGAAGAATGGTGAGTGGTGAGGCCCAAGAGACAGCAGGGGCCAGATTACACAGGGTTTTGGGCTGGCTTAAAGAGTTTTGATTTTATTTCAAACTCAATGAGTACTCACTGGAAGATTTTAAAGAGGGTATGACATGATCTGGTCTATTTTTTTATTTTTAATTTTTCCAGTTGTGAGGCAGAAGTAACAAAAATACTGCTGAGAAGGGTAAGGCTGGGGGAGACGGGCAGAGGCAGAAGCACGGACCAGTAAGGAGGCTATATTCTGGCCCACGGAACAGAGCAGCAGCTTGGTCTGGGTGAAGGTAGGGTGGGAGTGGTGAAAGTTGTCAGATTCAGGCAATGATTTGAAGATGAGGCTGGTAGAATATGCTGATATATTGGATGCGGGGTGTGCGAGGAAGAGGCCTGAACAACCAGGCTGGTGGGGATGCCATTTTCTGAGATGGAGACGTGAGGATGGAGGCTGCACCCGACTTGGGGCTGATGTGTGTTAGGTTTAAGACGTGTCAGGCCTTCCGGGGAGGGATGGTAGATGGACATCAGGACTTAGAGTCCCAATGCTCGGGAGAGGTCAGGGTGTGGACAGAACAGTAGGAGCTGTCAGCATTCAGGAGGGATATAGCACATGGGGGTTGCTTGCCACGTCCATCTCTCCAAACCCAGAACTGGAAGCTCTTGGGCAGCTCAAAGGCGGGAGCCAAATCAACAACAAATCCTCATGAACTGACCTTTCTCATTGTTTACCTGCAGAGACGGCCTCTCCCCTTGCTCCTGAGCATTTTTAAATGCTATTTTATATTTAGGAAAGGAGTCACATGAGCCCAGTGTCTCTGTGGCAAACCCGAGAGACAGTCTCCTGGGTCTCAGTCCAGTTACTCCCTGTGACCCTGGGCAGATTGCTCAGGGTGTTAAATGAGGTGCACTGTACCAAATCACAGAGTAACAGTAGAGAGCAAGGCTTGCAAAGAACTTGGCATACTGTAAGGAATCAGTCAAGATGTGGTTTTTTTAATGTCAGGGTTTTTAAAAAACCCTTAGGAAGTTTAATTTACATTCAGTAAAATTTGCCCTTTTTAAATGTGCAGCTCTTTGAACTTTGACAAACTCATATAGCCATATAAACCGCCGCCACAATCGAGATACAAAGCAGTCTCCAAAAACTTCCTGTGCCCCCTTCGTTGGCACCTCTGGCAACCACTGATCAATGTTTCGTCATCATTTTGCCTTTTTCAGAAAGTCCCATAAATGGAACGATGCGGTGTACGGCCTTTGGTGTCTGGGTTCTTCCATTTAGCTTTCGAGATTCATCCATGTGGTTGCCTGGATGAGGAGTTCATTTCTTTAAAAATATATCAGTTTTAAAAAGTTAGTTTAACTCCAGTTTCCTGAAAGCCAAGTGAAGAAACTGATTCAAGTGGGAGAGAGCGATTAACCTTGTTGGATGTCACAAGCAAGGAGGGCAGTGGGACTAAAGACTGGTCGGGGTGATTTTAAGAGATGATCGAAGGAGGGAGAGTGAACACCTGAGTGTGTTTTGTTATTCCTCATTTTAAAAAGTAACAAAAATACAGCTGAGACTATTAAGTGAAAAATAGCCATTTCTCATCAATCTTTTAAAAAAGGATACATTTTAGGGATAATATAAGTGTTCTAGAATTAGAAGTATGGCTGCATAAAAACTTTGAATATCTTAAAATCCACTGATTGGTATAGTTTAAAAGTGGATTTTATTTACGGTGTGTGAATTACATCTCAGTGAAGCATATATATATATATATATATATGTCTTATATGTGTATGTATATTTGTATATATGTATATATATGGGTATATGTTATTGTGCTGGGGCTGCCATAACAGAGTACTACTGACTAGGTGGCTTAAACAGCAGAAATTTATTTCTCACAGTTCTGGAGGCTAGAAGTTAAAATCAAAGTGTTGGCGGATGTGCTTTCTCCTGAGGCCTTTCTCCTTGGTTTGCAGACGGCCATCTCCTCACCGTGTCTCAAGCAGTCTTTTCTCTGTGTGCTCACTTCCCCAGTGTCTCTCTCTGCATGACCTAATCTCTTATAAGGACGCCAGTCAGATGGATTAGGGCCCATCTTAAAGTCCTTATTTAAATTTCATCACCTCTTTAAAGACTATCTTCAAATACAGTCACTTTCTGAGGTTCTGAGATTAGGGCATCACCTATGAAATTTGGAGGAACAAAAGTCAACTCATAAAAATATCTATGTTTTTATATATGACAAATCATCACCTGCAGGAGACATCAGTAATTGATTGACACTCATCCTGCCTGAACCTGACCTCTACATCCTTCTAAACAATACTCCAGACAACCACTACCAGTCAATGAGAGTTGGCACAAAATGAAGTTAAACTTTCTAAACCTTTGGTCAGAAAACATTCTTAACTGAAATCCTTGAATTTGTATGCAGAATTTTCATATTTTGTGCATTCTTCTGGATAGAAATTTGTTTTTGTTAAATTCTCCAAAATTAAAAACCCTTAGGAAATTTAAAACCATGAGTGGACTTTCATCATGGGAGACTGAGGTCCAGGAAAGTAGTGGCGGAAGGTTCTGTCTGATCGTAGTGCTGCAGTGCAGTTCTGATGCTCACCACCTGGGAGTTAGCAGACCCCATAGGTTTGGGGCACAGGCTCCAGGAAGACCTCCCCCACTTCACATACCAGCCCCAAGTTCGAGGGGCCCTAGGCTACCTTCACTTCCAAACAACTGGCTTCAAATTCAGGACTTCCCATGATTCCTCTAAGTTTAGTAATTAGCTAGAACAACTCATATGGTTAGGCTATATTACAATTACAGTTTTATATAAAGAATGCAAATCAAGACCAGCCAATTGAAGAGACACAAAGGATGAAGTCTGGGAGGGTACCAACACAGAGCTTCCACACCTTCTCCCTGTGAAATCAGGGCACATGACCCTACCAGCACAGCACATTGATTGTCCACCAACCAAGCAGCTCCACCGAGCTTCAGTATCCACAGTTTTTATTGGCGTGCATTACTTTAGCTTGGTTGGATTATTAGCCTTATGATTGAACTCAGTCTCCAGGCTCTCCCCTCCGTAGAAGTTGGGAGGTTGGGCTGATGTCAGATGGCTCAAAGCTCCAGTCCTCGAATCACATCGTCGTTCTTCCTTAATCCTGAGTTATCACGTTAGCATAAATGTAGGTATGATCCAGGGGGCCCACAATGACTAACAAAGACACTCCTGTCACTCGAGAAATTCCAAAGATTTGGAGGGACAAAGACCAGCAAGCTCTTTATACCGCACTGATTCTAAATGCCTCATTTTTAGTGCACCTTTGTCCAGCTAGAGCAGGCTGGCTGGGGGGGTAGGGGGCAGGGGAAAGGCCTGGGGTCGGTGGCAGTCTGAGTACACTGGGAAGGTCACGCTGGCCAGAGGAAGACCGACAGGGCTTGGTAGAGGGGGACTGGCAGCAGAACCACTTATTCAAATCTGAAGGGAAGGGATGCTGGACCAGAGTTCAGTGTGAGGATGGGTCTGTAGTGAGGCTGCTGCAGAGGTGATGAACTCTCTGTCACAGGCATGGCCAAGCAGCGATACAGAAACCCTACCCTGACTGGGAGTAAGGCTCTCAGGGCACCCCACCCCCAGGTCAGGTGGCCAGTGGATGAGGATTTGGTGCCTGTTCTGGCATCAGGCATCTGGGCATCAACTCCATGCCTGGCACAGAACTAGGCTCCCGGGGCAGGCGAAGAAGGAGGCATAGCCCTGCCTTGGACCACAGTCTCAAGAATTGAAAAGGCCTCAGACTGCAGTCAGAGCCCCCACCGTTACCTCTCCCTTCTCCTTATGGAAATTGAGGCTCAGAAAGAAGAATGATGTCCGTACAGTCACCTTTGAGCATCTGATCAGGGCTCCTGACTCAAGCCAAAGTGCTTTCCTTGTTCCTCTGTCGCCTCCACAAACTTGGATTTATAAGGCCTGCTCCTCTCTGTTTGAGCCAAAGCAGGGTTGTTATTTCATTCATCTGAGGAAACAGAGGCCCAGGGTAGGGAGAGGCTGTCCCTTTGGAAAGGCTATGGGTGAGGAGGAGAGGGCCACCTAAATTGCAACTCTGCCCTTCAAATTGTGTGGTCTCGGGCATGCGACTCACCTTCCCGATGCCTCAGTCTCCTCATCCTGAGAATGAGATATTGGAAACAATATCTATGTCAAGGACATTGGGCAGGTTGCCTCATGTCTGGGAAGGGCTTTGTGGGGTCTAAAGTGTAAAGCTGGGCCTAACACCCAAGGCCCCTTTCTCCTAAGTGAATTGACAGCTCTCAGGTATCAGCCAGAAACCTCGGGCCTCCCCTGCATCTCTGAGAACTTCCCACATAGACAGGCCTCATGGCTTCTACACTTAACAGTATCTCTGTGGGGAGTTCCCCAGATCATGTGCTTTGACCCTGGATAGTGAAGTCATACAGTGACTTGGAACTGAGAGTGAGGGTGTCAGCCCCACCAGGCCAGAACCAGGCTGGTCTCACTCCCAGCTGAATGCTCAGCCCAGCACAGCCCCCCAAGATCTCACACTGTGGGTCAGTCAGCAGGACAGCTGCAGGGGGCTGGGGACAGGGACTCCAGACCTGGATTGTCAGAGCCAGGAGGGCCCATAGCACAGATGTATAGACTGAGGCCCAGAAAGGAGGGCTGTGCAGAATGAGGGAAGCCTGGAGGGACCTTGGTGATAGCCCCACTTGTGTTTTCCAGGCCCGAGCTGCTCACCGAGGGAGTCAAAGAGCCCATCACGGACAGCCAAGGTACCCTGCACAGGGTCACGGGCCGAGGCGTAGGCTGGGCATGGGAGGGGTCCCAGGCCTCTGCCACCTCCCCTCCTTCTGCTTCCTCTGTCCTGGTCCTGTCCTCCCCTGGCATTCTCCCACTGCCCTCCTCATTGGGTTTGCCCCAACCGGTTGCCACCTTTGTCCCTGAGTCTCAAGAGCTAGCCGCCTGCTCACCCTGGCTTCTCTCCCCCCCGCCCCCAGAGAGGGATTCCGGGGACCCTTTTGTGGACGAGAGCCTGAAGAGACAGGGCTTTCAAGGTAAGGTTGCAGTTCAGGATGGGGTCAGCTGTCCCATTGCCATGACCTTGACCTGGTTTGGGTTTGGAGGAGTGGGGCTGTTTACAACCTCTGGGTCTGGGGGGCCAAGTGAGATGGGCTGGCAGCTAGGACAGGGCTGTAGCCTGCCAGCTCTGAGTGAGAGGCTCCACAGGAGTGCTGGGTTGTGGGGGGTGACAGGGCAGAGGATGCAGGAGTCACCCACTGTCCATCTGGGGAGGCAGCTGACCTGCCCACTGCATATGAGGCAGTCAGCTGTGCTCTTACTGCTTTGAAATCAGAGGAAGGGGAGGTCTTCAAGGGCAAGGAGTGCTCCCTAGAGGAGGGGAACTGCAGCTGGGCTGAGAAGGGATGAGAAGGAGTGAGTGTGGAGGGAGAGGGGTGGAAAAAGCAGGGAAGCTTGAGTAAAGGCATGGAATGCAGACCATACATGAGAAACAGAAGCAGGAAGGGGCCAGGCTCCGAGGGGAGGTGCTCTTTGTCTCCCATCTGTAGGGGTGCAGTATCACTTCTCAGCCTTTTGGTTGAGATTAAGCATCAGTGAGCGGGCACAGAATACCCATCCATGAGCCTGTTGGGGCAGCTCTGGGTGTGGCATTCCCCAGGTGGGCCCTGGGTGGTCACTGTGGCTCTAAGGAGAAAATGAGTCAGTGAGACCAGTGCCAAGAAGGGCCAGCCCTGGCAGTGGCGGAGCCTCAAGAGATAGGACCCAAGATTACTCAGCCTAGTCTC